GGCAGATGTGATTTTAAAGGAAGGCCAGGTATTTTCCAATATCTCATTTTGTGATGAGTTTGCCGATGAAGCATAGTTGTATTTGCTACAGCAATCGACTACATTCGTTACTTTTTCGTTTATAAGTAGGTTCTCGAGACTACCAGTAGATATATATATATGAGATGTCTTCACCCTATTTCGTTTAATGTGTGTTAATGTGTATTTGCCATAGCAAATACAACTTTGCTTCATCGATAATTTCAGCATAGAATGTGATATGGGAAAATGTCTGACCATACTTGAAAATCGCATCTGCCGTGTCGAGATTATACGCTGCTCTTACACTGTCCTGGCTTGATTCCCGCTCGGGTTGCAAATGACACCAGTTCAGGTGAGGTCGAAATTGTTGTCCAACCAAGTCGAATGATAATAGATTTTGTAAAGGCAAGGCTATGTGAAATTCAATAGAAACGTAAGGTCTACTCATAAGATTATGTGAAAATTCAAGTACCAATCCTCTTATCATCTTAAACGAAATTGAGTAAATACATCTGAGACGCTTGTTGGGGCCGAAGTGGGCAAAATACGTCGGCAATCGCACTCTATCAGTTCGCTGCAGCGAACATACACACTTGGCCTGTTGTGTAAAATCAAGTCAAGGCGGCCTCGTCACTTGAAATAAAGAAGATCGTTTACATCTCTTTAACTTGCCAGACTAGCCAGTGCCCAGGACACAAGTCATGCCATCGAGGAAAAGATGTCGTCAAGCCGAGAATGATATGACTTATTCAGAAGCCGGACGACAGGCCGACCTGACGATCAGTTCATGGGGCTCGAGACGATGTCAGCGTTATTCTAATCCCAAGATGTCCCCTTTCAGAGGGAGGCCAGATTCGAATGTTCTCGTGACTCCGTTGCCCAACTATACAGAAATTCACAATCTTAAGACCCAGCCATTGGGTCAAAGTCGAAGGCATTATTACGCAATCAAGCGGATACTGTCCGCCCGTAAAGCACAGGTTGAATTAAGCCAGATAAATGGAGATTAGTAAAAAAATGTCTGCCTACTCGCACATTATGCAGAATATCCTTTAGCTCTTCAACTTCATAAAGTCTGAGAGTGAAGGCTGGTGAATCTTCGAGTTAAATTGTTGGCCTCACTTCCCTTTCACCGACTTCGGATGAGTTTGAACGTCACCCAGACAACGTCACCCAGACATTTTCAGGAAAGTTAAACGGCAACTGGCCAAGAGGAACCCGCAGTCATCTTCA